CCCGCGTGTATCTCGAAGTATTCGCGGTTTGCGTCAATCGGTGAAGAAATATCGTGTGGTGGTAGTGATGATTCCTCGTGATTTGCCGGATACATTGGAATAATGTAAAATCGCGACGTGTTTGACTCGCCGATGACACAGCGGAAATGTGGCGAACGAGTTCGACGCGGTCAATACGCTTCCTTCGGATTCCACACCGCGGGCAAAAGTGATATTTGATCCTTGGCAAAATATAAAGTGCCTCCAATCAATCTTTAACATGACAGATTTTTCAGGACATTCTAAGATGAAGGTTCGAGTAAGAAAATGTCGAAGATATAATAGTTTCCGAGATACGAGCGATTGAAAAAGTGGAGCTTTTCGCGAACTAAATCTCGAACGACCGAGTGGATAATAAAATTCTTTTCTTCGATCAATTTTTCAAGTGGACTTTATTTTGGAATGCTGTAAATAAGAACATCTCTTGATGTTTTTGTACTTGAACTTTCATCTTAAAACGTCCCGAAGAATCTACCATGTTAAGGACATAAGTTGATTCTGAGACACTATATAATTCGAACCAAAATATTCGGAGAATGCAGATTAATATATTCTCATTCACATTCAACGTTCGGTAAAATGATTCGAATAATTTTCCAACGACGCGAACGAATCCTCGCAAATCCCCCAAAAGCGGGAGAGATAAATTTGAGAACTCCTCTTCTGATTTTATCTCACACGGACGAGCACAGTTATTTTTGAGCAACACGCCGTTACGAATTTTCCGCGTTACCAGCCGAAAATCGCATTTGCAGGTCAGTGGATAACTTGGACATCCAGGGCCGGAATAGCGAACAGGGCGACGAGGAGGCGGAAGGAGTGGAAGAGGAAGAGGAGGAAGGTGTGCGAAGGAGCGAAGAGGCGAAGGGGTCTCCCACGGGCCCTCCGCCGCCACCTTTGTCTCCCTTGCAACGAGCACGGGCTAATCAGGCAGCGGGCACCAGCAGCAACGAGTCTGAGAGCTCCAAGAACCCGCAACCCTTAGCGACCATCAGCATTCAGGACCTCACAAGTATCCAGTTACGACGGACCAGCACAAAGATGAACGCCACCAAGACGTTCTCCGCTCCGCCTCCTCGCAGCGTGTCCATGACTAACGGTAAGACCGCGACACACATGCACACATTATGCTCCTCTGCAGACACGCGAAGAATCCCGTCTACGACACCATCTCTCGAGTTAGAGTCTCGAGGAGAATCCCGATTGTAGGAGTATTTCTTATTATTGAGTCGATGCAAAAATTCACTCCATTCTTTAATCAAAATATACACAGTAAAAAATTTTGTCTTCAAAACGGTCCACAGAAGTTTTGTGTTATTTTAACATGCAAAGTACACAAATATAATGTTAAGTTAACACATTCATCTTGTCAACAACATATGCTGACGATGTAAATAGGTTAATTTACATTATATTTGTATATCTTTTTACACATATTTGTGTACTCTTTAACACATGTTTGTGTACTTTAACACATGTTAAAGTAGCATAAAATTTCAGTAGATCGTTTTTATCACAAAATTTTTTTATCAAGTACGATACATATGTTATTTTATTTAAGATACGAATACCTACGATAGCAATATCTTTTTTCCATGTGCAATCAATCAATTAAGTATGCGCCGATTTGTTCGATTACTCGCCATCTCTACGGTAACTACATGATCATGTGCTCGTAGAAATTCTAAAATTTCTGAACGAAGAACTGGTTAAAAAACAGAACGAACTTTTATCCCGTCGCATTAGAGCGATATTGATACTCGATTTTTTATTTTAAACGCCATCGATAATTGTCGCTGCGAATCGATAGGATTCTTCGTCTTCTGATTATAACTGTGGGATAAATCCTAATGGAATTGTCGGAAATTTAGTTTCAGAACCGTTCTTCGTACAAAAAACGGACCTGATCGCCGAGCTGAAGCGTACCAAGGACATACCCGGCATCAAAAAGCTGAAAGTGGAACGGGCGCAAGTGGAGAAGACTCAGGAGCAGAACCTCATGTCGGAAATCAGCAAAGCCTTCAGCGTCACGAATTTCGTCGATCAGGTGAGTAATGGCGATCGCGCAAATGGAACATTTCCGAGTCGCCGATATTCTTCTCGCACGACGTGATCTCGCAGATCCCAGAGAAGGACAGCTCGGGAAACGTGATACCGATCTGGAAACGGCAGATGCTGGCACGGAAAGCCGCGGAACGTGCGAAGAAGGAGCTCGAGGAGCAAATAGCGCGAGAGAACGAAGAGAGGCGGCAGAAGGCGATCCCGCCGTGGAAGCGACAGCTTCTCGCCAAGAAGGACAACGAGGAGAAGAGGTGCGTGGTTTATCGATAAAAATTGCCACCACGCGTCGCTGTCGTCATAAGGACGCTAACCAAATCCGTGATTAATTAGGAGCGTGACCTCCGCAGCGGCAGAAGGAACATCTTCAACCGCCCCTCGCGCGAAATCGAATCAACTGACGACTTCCGATATCGCGCGCGTGCTGGGGGGATTCGCTCCCGGCGCCATTTTGCGCGATTGAATTCTGCCCGCTTTCAGCGCGTATAGTGATCATTAAGTGCTCGAATTATGGCGAGTGTTACAATTGCCCCTTGTTGGAATTGACCCCGGGCTCCTCAACTTGGCGTTATATAAAATTACGCAATCGGTCGTAAGATGCGCGTGTGATATTACATATGCCGTCGATTAAAAGATTGGCCCGGCCAAATCTGATGAACGACGTTCGCGTTCGCCTCCGAGCGCGGGAAGGACACCTCGAGTCGTGTCAGGCGAGGAGGAGGAGTGTATCAAGTGTCTCCAACCGCGGTTTCTCCGTTGCAGACTGAATCACACGCAGCAGGCGTCCGCGTCGGCCGTCTCTTCCGCTGCCGCCACCGTCGCCGCCGCAGCCACCACGTCGGCGAAGTTCGACGCGACGACGAAACCGAAGAGGGACGCCTCGCCGGCGACGACGACGAGCGTCATTAAGAAGGAGGAGAAACCCGAGGTCGAGGAGAAGCGGGAGGACCCGGCCAAGGACGACTCCGACGACGGCCAAATTATACCCTGGCGAGCGCAATTAAGGAAGACCAACAGCAAACTCAACATCCTCGATTAACGATCGAGCGTCCAGCGAACGCGCAGCATCGCATTCCCGTGCGTAGCCCGAGACCGAGCGCGCGTTTAGACACACCGTGAATGAGAAAAGGGAAGAGAAGGATAGACGGTGCAGGTATCCGCGGTTTATCGGACCTGAGTCTACGTATAATCGGAGTTAATGTAATGTAACTTACGCAACATGGGTAAAATGAGCGCGAAGAGGAGGAGATATAAGTGAACATATAAGGTGATTCATGGTATTACACAACACGAAGTGTCTTCAATACTCTTTAAGACTAGCACGTACGTACTCGTATAGGATACTCCACGCTACGGAGTATATAGTCGCGGAAGATACTTTTTTTATATACTCGTTTTGCGCCCACATTACATCTTTGCGGAATTTCCTCGCAGGCGTCGTTGCTAACATTGTACCTTCAAACGTATGCATATATATATATATATATATTTTTTTTTTTTTTCTGACAAGAATACGTTTGCGGAATTGTCATTCGCGAGGGGTATCGCGAATAGGCGTCCCGATAAAGAATAGAAATGATTTAATAATTGCGCAGGGAGGAAGAGAGGAGCGACATGATCGCCTCGTATCGTTCTTGAGGAGCATGCGTCACGAATCGAACGCGAATAATGTACATACGAATAAGTCCGTTTGCATTATAAAGCTTGAGGTAATCTGTTATCGTTAACGAATTAATCACGATCCTACTATGGGGCGGCATCGACGAGTACGATTCCGCTCCGTCCGGTCGTTTCCATTCAACGAAAATTCCATTTGACGTCTAATCGCTACAAACGAGGAGGTGAAAGGTGAAGATTGAGGAACAGCGGAGATTACGGGCGTATCTCACTGACTCTCGGGAAAAGAGGGATCCGTACGAAGGATCTGTTCATTGAGCGGCGTTCGAGACGAGAATATCGCGTGAAAGTCAGCGTTCGGTAATTCCGGGTCTGATTAGTCGCGTCGGGAAGGACATTAGCGGCGCGATAAACGCGACTGGTAGTCACCAATTACAGTCATTAGTACTGTGCAGAAGCTAGAGATCGGTGAATTAATACTGACGTTGATTAATCGCGCCACCAGCGTCACGATAACGTTGCCGCCGCCGCACGTTACAGCGTGTCTCGCGGCCAACAATTATCTTCCGCCACTTCGGCGAGATCCATCTCCCCGCGAAACAACGAAATGACGAACGATCGCCGGAATGTTTTACGCGTGCGCGCGTCAATATTTCATCTCGCGATGAATATGCGCGCAACTTCAACTTTCGTCCTCCGGAAGATATTCGCGGCGCAATTTACAGCGGCAGTCGAATCTTCGCAATAAATCAAGTGCGTCACGAGATTACGGTCGAAGACCGATCATTTCTCATTCATTATTAATGTTATTATTCGCGAATTATTACTATTATTATAAATAAGAAATTATGATGTACTTTTTATTTACCATAGCGAAGCCGACCCCGTTGAAACAACGGTCCGCCGAGGTCTCGACGCAGCTGTCGATGATCGACACGCTCTACCCCAGTTTCAGCAGGTGTTTCTATTATTTTTTCTTCTCTCCTTTCTCGAACAACGCATCGCCCTGCGATTCGTGCACCCTTTCGCACGAAGAGAAGCGGAACGACGATGGTAACGAGGGTAGGAAAAGCACCACGCGCGCGATGGTGGGGAGCAGCATAACGCCTCTCCTCTCTCTCTCTCTCTCTGTCAGCGAACAAAGCACGGCATTGTACACACGCACTGTACACACATATACCCGTGGTTCCGTGACGTGCGCGGCCGTGCCTCTTTTCCCTCTCTATCTTCACGTCACTTCGTCACACGCAGCCTTCGTTACGACACGACAACGGAACGGAACGATACGAAAGCCGGAGAACGACGCAGCCCGCGGAAGGCGTCGGTGTCGCAACGCCGACGCTGTCGACGAGCCTCCGCTTCCTCGCCGGTCCTCATCCACGTCTTCGACGTCGCGTGAGCAACAGCCAGCGCCGCGATTCGCCGCCGCCCGGCGCGACGAGATTTTTGGCAGGCGTTTTGGAGCGCAGTTTGAGCACGGCGAGCGAGCGAGTTGCGACGCTGGCGAGAGAGAAAACAAAGAAAGAGAGGGAGAAAGAAAGAGAGCGCGTTCCTCATCTAGGCGTCAAGTTTCCCCGACCGTTCCTCGGGGCTAACAAGTTGAGAAGTCCACCGTTCGTACGGTTTCACAGCGAGTGCGCGAGGGAGAAGAGACGTCAATACAGACAGAGAAAGAGAGGGAGGGAGGGTGGGAGAGAGAGAGAGAGAGAGAGTCCTGTTGCGGTAAGATAAGAGTGAGGTCGAAGGTGAAACCTCCCAGTGAAAAGAGACGAGAACTGACTCGAGCGCGGAAGAAGGAAAAATTGAGGCGCGCGCGTTCTTATGGTGAGCCCGCGTGGTTTGTGATTGTCACATCGCTTCACACAGGAGCGCGCGCTGAGCGCATACCGACGGGATGGCGTCCAATCGCAGCGTACTAGGTAAGTCGCTGATTGATATGCATTGGGTTGATAGGAGAATTGAAAGGGGTTGAAAGCGGGGCTGCTCGCTGCTCGTCTTGACCTACCACTACGTTACGTTTGAATAAAAAACGATCAATCTGTCATGTGTGCTCGTTTACAAGCGAGTCTTACGAGAGTTCGGGGTCGTTCGGCTCCGATTTGTTGATTTGTAACTTCTTCACGTCTGTATTATTCGCGATTTTGCTCCCGACTCTTTTGCTTTTAGTTGAAATAAATTCTATTGCAACTAAGTAAAATTATTTACATATTAGATATAAATGAGTCACACTCGCCTTAGGCCACGTCTGCTTTAAGCATTTTGCGTTCTATGCGTTTTTTTTTATCAACATTCATTACCTTCCCTCCATTGTTTATTTATGACTCAATGTCGCATGTTCGGTTGAATGCAAAATTTTTCGTAAAAAAACCGCATATCTATGATTTTTGTCCATGAACGACGATAATTTCATGCGAACGTTGCCATGACAATAACAAGTAGACATTTCTTTTTTTTTCATTGTTGGAAATCTATTATTGTCTTCCCGATGACACGATAATTTTTCGAGAAAGCAGACTGCAGTGTCAGTAGGGCTTAAGTGCGCACAATCACGCGTGTGTCGCGCGACGGCAATGAACGCGGTTTCCGCTCGAGCGTTAATGTATTCCTCGTTACGACAATGATTCGTCAAGAAAGAACATAATCCGCTCGGCGGCGACGAGCTCGAAATTAAAGCGCCGCCGTCCATCATGAGAATTGCAACCGGCATTTTATTCACGAAACCGCTTCCGTTTGCATGCTCGCGTCGCTCGCCCACGGATAAGCCCGCTGTTAATTCCAAAATTAGATATCATCTTCTCTAACGACCAAACACTAAAGCGCGATGATGCAAAGATAATTATAAGTCATCGCGACTTATAACCACCGCTGCCGCTATTATCTCCACGAATATATCGACTAATTGACGATTTAAGACATATGAATATATGAGAAGACCGAAAAGCAAAATGGAAAAACATTAAAGCGTTTTGACGACACAGAGAAAAAAGGCAGTTGGTTCGATAAAATTGGTAGTCACTCTCATTAAAAAAATATTTACTTTATTTTTTTATTTAATATTATGTCCATTAAACAAATTACGCGTTGGTGCAACAACTCGTTACAGTAACTGTATGATTTGTTCAATGGATTAAACGTTGTATTTGAAAAAAATGCGTCCTTTTCAAATTTTTAAGCAACATTTCGTTGATTCTACCATTTTTTTCTCAGTAGTTTAACCATTTTAGCGCCACGCAGCGCGATCGCGCTGTTCGCGTACTGTGGTGAAATGCGCCGCGATGTTTGGTCACAATCATCAATTCGCAACGCGCTCGGTTCCAAATTTCGCAAACTTTTGAGTGTTTAGTATAACGTTTCTGATATGACGTGTTTAGTATACGTGTTTAGTATACGTTTCTGATGAAATGAAACGCGAGCGCGCCGAGCGGCATATTTCGACGAAAAAAAAAAGCAGCGCGATCGCGTCGATCGGCGTTACTCGCAGATAAATGGACGAAGCGCTATCGCGCTGCATGGCACGATCCGACACGGATTTTTAAAAACCCCTGGCACTAAAACGGTTAACCAGCCGACTAATAACATGAAACTGAGAATAAAGTACTTAAAAATTTATTCGTAGGAGATATAGGATTTATTTCACAGAAATAAAGCTTATTTCTATGAAATAAACCTTATATCTTATTATAATATATGAGGTCTGTTCAAAAAGTGTCGCGAATTTTGTGTTTTTTCAAAAATTATTTATTTATTCATGAATATCTATTTTGTCTCCTTCAAAGTAATCCCCGTCAGATATTATACACTTGTGCCAACGTTTTTTCCAATCCTCGAAGCACTTCAAAAAATCATTTTTTGTGATCTTGTTCAGCTCCTCCTTCGATGCCGTCTTTATCTCCTCAATCGTAGCGTAGCGTCGTCCTTTCATGTGCCTCTTCAGTTTCGGGAACAAGAAAAAGTCACAGGGGGCCAGGTCTGGGGAATACGGTGGCTGCGGCATCATTAGTGTGTTGTTTTTGGCCAAAAATTCGCGCACAAGCAACGATGTGTGAGCAGGGGCGTTGGTACGAATTTCGCGGCGACCCGTCTCATGCCCAAATCATTAGTAAAAATCGAATGGCACGAGCCAATCGATATGTTTAGGTCCTCAGCAACTTCTCCAACGGTGATTCGACGATTGGCCAATACTATTTTCTTCACTTCATCAATGTTTTCGTCTGTTGTTGACGTGCTCGGGCGTCCGGCACGTTCTTCGTCGTTCACGTCTTCTCGGCCCTCTGAGAACATTTTGTACTACCGATAAACGTTGCTTCGGTCCAAGGTAGCTTCACCATATGCCACAGTCAACATTCGGAATGCGTCCGCGCACTTAATTTTGTTAGATTCTTTGATCCATTTTTTGGAATAGGCAAAAATCGAAGACGAGCCAAAACACGTCCAAGCAAAACAGCTGTCAAAGATAAACTGAATATTCAAAATGGCCGAACTTGTCGGCATAAGTGAGGGACATGAGTACCAACATAACGCCACAAAAAAATCGAAAATCGAATATACGTAACCCGCGGAAATTCCAAATTCGCGATACTTTTTGAACAGACCTCGTAAATTTTTAAATATTTTTTTCTCAATTTACGAACGCTGGATCAATAGGGTGGCGCGCATAACCCGCGATCTCTGAATGAAGTCGCAGCGGGATGCTAGCACGATCTACACGGCGATTGAAGGAAAAAATCAACTCGCGGGCGCCTCTTCGCCTGGGACTTTCGATGCCGCTGGGGTTAACATGTGTCGGCGATGTTGGTTCGCGTCGCGTCGAAGGAAAAAAAGAAAATTACTACTGCTGTGTTGTAACGTACCGCTAATAGTCGCTCATAGTCCACGCGATGCACCAGCCTCTAATCTTCGACCAATGGCAGGCAAATACGCGAACACAACGACGCGCTCGCACGCGCTGCAAATTCCATTCGCGATCGTTAGACTCGCTGCGCACACTTCTTGACCCGAATCGATGCCGGCGATCGTTACGAGGGCGAGTCATCAAACCGCGGCAGAGGAAAGCGGTGCTGCGCTATTTCGAGCCTTTGCAAAACGACAAAACACACCCGACGTAAATAGCTCCACAGTGCGAAACCGTGCAACCGGGTTCTGGGTGAAGGTTGTGATAACTAATCTGTTGCTACCTTTTGCCAAAAGACGCAAAACAGCGTTCGGCTGCGTTTCGGCCGAAAGCTCAAGTCGAAACTTGAATGCTACTTTGACGCTTTTAAAGATAGTTCGTGCCAACTTAGATGGGCTATAAATATCAATGAGAATCTGCTTTAACGATATTGACACTTTTTAATTTCTTTCTTGAACTTTTAATTACGCAGATTTTAATTTTAATGCTACCTTGAACATTTTATTTTGATGCTGAAACATCCAAAACGGTAATTTAAGATATCATCAGCGTCAAAGAGATGTTAATTATTAGAATTGCGATTCAACCTATTAGCATCTACTTGTGTAGAATTAATCCTGACAGTAACATGTTAGATCTACGAGCGTTTTATTTCGTTTATCCTCTCTTCCACATTTTATGCAAGACGCTACATCCTACTTCTATTCCTTTATTATTTAGAAAAAGTTGAATCCATGTGATCACTGCTATTTTCAGTCTGATCCAATAAGATAACTAGTTTCCTAGCGGCAACCAGTTTATACAAAAGACAATAATAAAAGGTTAATAAACTAAAAAATTGATATGATAAATTTAATATTAATATATGTAAGTAACATAAAAATGAAAAAAACTACGATTTTTGCCATTTTTTTTATCTAGGCCTGAGATACTTATGATGTTACTTCAGCGTCAAGATCGCAAATATTATTCTCAGGGTTAATATAGGGCCAACATTTTAACGCAAGAGGCGTGCTCGAAGACGCAGCGATTTCATAGGTAACGCGTCTCGAAGGATCTCGAAAGATCTCAAGGCATTTCGCGAAAAACTTTCCAATTATTACCCACGAGTTATATAGTCAGTAGATTTAAACGCGTCACGCTTAGTGTGTAATTTTTTTCGAATTCGCATGGAGACACGACGAGCGCTGAGTAAACGTTCCGCGAGTATCATTCAGCAAAAAACCACGAATCGATTGCGAGACGGTCGTGCGTTGCGCTCGAGCGCGATTTTTAAATAGCGATCGATGAACGGGGATTTAATCCTCAAATCAACTCGACGAGCTGTATCTCGTGCGCCGCGTCTCGTGTTCGCGACTTTGAAACTCTTCGGTCTACTTGACATCTCGATCGAGCAGCTGAGCCGTTAATTGATCGACGGACGTTTCCGCGAATCCCGATATCGCGGCTTGTTCCTATTTACATCTCACGAGGTAAATTAACATGTTCATTGCCGCCATTCATCCGGGAAACTGTCCGCTACAGACTACTTCATACTTTTTTATGTAATAGTGTGTGAAATAGACTTGCTTTGTTTATGTGTACAGGAGGAAAAATGATCGCCGTCGCAACATGTGTGACGTCGGTCTCTCGTGAGAGATCGATGCGCATCACACGCACGGAAAATAAATCTTAGTTCGTGTAGCTGAATAGGCATCAGGTGAAAATTCGGTAACGAGAAACGAATGTTCTCTGAACATTCAACTATATTAAAATTCGGGTGAGATTACTGAGATCAATTGAGCTGAGTAAAAACCTCCTACACGAATCTTCCCGTTTTTATAGCCGAATTTTCCATATTTGGTCCCTTTCTTTTCAGACAATGGAAAATTCAATTATTGCAGCTGAATAGGAACCACATGAAACAAATTTGGTGACAAAAATGAAAACTCAGAGACAAAGAATTATATCTGTTATCGCGAATGTCTGAGTCGAAACTTTAGCTCTATATGTTAAACCTTTAATTTTACAATATAGTAGGAGCTAAGA